CTCTACCACAGCAGCCAGAGATTACAATAGGGGGTCATGCTGCCTATGATTTATTCTGCGTATATACTGCTGCAAATTTATCTGCACATTTTTTCCGTTAGTATTTTATGTTCCCTCTAATTTGGGCATCTGGCTTACCAATATGAAAAATATATTTAACAGATCCATAGGAAATCTTGGATGTTAATAACAGTTGCATAGCTTTTAGTTTGCCTTTTAAATGGCAACTCACAACAGAGGATAAATAAGCAGTTGCTGTGAAAATAAGCTTGCGACATCATAAATGTTCTTGGAACTATTTAAACTACAGAAATCTTGAAAGAAAACGTAATAAATGTATGGTTTGCTGAGTCCATGCCCACACAAGTAGTTACCATGGTACTCTTTGAGACATGGTCATCAATTATTAGTGTTTGCCTTTGCAGCAGAAAAAAAGTGTGCACTTTTGGTCAGATATATACTATACCTTTTACTGGTAGCTGCCTCTCATGCAATTACCATATGGGTTGGCAAAAAGAAAAAGCTTATCTGTGTACAATGGTGCCCTTCTGTTGTTTATGTAGGTTGTGCTATTGTATGTGCTATGTCAGGTGTTCTTATACATATGTCTTTGGGTTAAAGGAACCAAATCAAAGGAGCCAGTTGGAAAATTTTCTAACAAAGTGCGTAGCCAATGAGCTGCCGGCTCTGTTCGGGTGCTCTGATAATGGCCGGCAGCCGCTATCAGAATACAATGAGGTCAGCAGGAGATTCCTCGATCATTGCTCATAAGCCTTGATGGAGGAATCTGTTATATTTTCATCATTCAGCCTGCGAGTTGAACAAAAAAAATTATAGAACCGTGTAATTCCAGCCTTAGTCATTTGAGGCAAAATCTGCTTGTAAGATAGTAACTGTGGATAGCTATCTAGCATTATACAACCAACTCGGGCAACGTTTCTGCAGTGGTTCCAATTGGCAGCCCCTTTCCCACATTATGTAATATAAATACAGAGCTGCATTAATTGCCATTTGTGTTGGTTTTTTTTTTTCAAGCATGCAGCTATTTTTCTTTTGTCTTTTTTATATTGGCTTTTCACAGTTGCAGGAATTCATCGACACCTTCCAAAATGACGGAAACTACATTCACACAGCATGTTGATGTGATTTATATTTTCCCCACGAAGATTGAGAAAATTGTTGTTTTTAGTTGGCTCTGTTATAATCGAAACTGTTTAGTAACGTCAGACAGATGTTTGTGTTTTGCTGTCATATTGTCATTTTCTTTCATTACCTGTGCATTAACTGAGCATTTCCTTTCATTACCGTGTGTCATTGTGTTCAGATTCCATATGTCTAAAAAAAAATTGCTATTACTGTTCATGCACAGTTTGAATGGTGGTGGCTTGGACTAGGCTAGGCATTTTACATGTTTTCATGTTTACATGTTTTCATATAAGCACAGAAATGTGGCTTAATGTGTACATTTTAAAGTTGAGAAAATTGCTAGTTAGCCAGTAACAGTCTTTCCAAGAAATCTTCCAGAGCAGCCACCTGGGAGATAATTAGCTCAATAATCTACAGGAAATAAAAGCTTTTCTCTCCTACCTTCCCTTCAGTTAAGTAACTAGAAATGGAACCACCACCAAAGTGTGTAAGTTAGAGCTGCAGCTAACGATTATTTTCATAATCGATTAGTTAGCCGATTATTAAGTTCGATTAATCGATTAATCGGATTTAAAAAAAAAGTCTACAGTGATGGACTACTAGTTTTGTATTGAGATTGTAGTCCATCACGGGAGCAAGCTTGGAGCGGTGGAAGTAAAAAAAAAAAAGACTGTATTTTGCACTCCATAAGGCGCATCGAACCATAGGATGCAGGGAGGTTCTGTGATTGCAGCAGTAGTTAGTGACAGCTGAGACAGGTGGCACTGTGATTACAGCGCCACGGTCTCAGTGATCACACAGAGCAGATGAAGAACGGACGTTCTTCGTCTGCTCTTGGGGCTCTATGGTGAGCTCCTATGCCGTGGTCATAGGTCCCCCAGAGGAGCGGGGGACCCCGAAAACCACGGTGGTGGGGCACCGGACACGATCGCCGCCGCTCGGTTTGATACAAGTGATGTGATTAGACAAATAGACACACGATTATTTCCAGGATAATACATGCTGCAGAACAGTACACAGAGGATTTTTTTGTTCTGGTTAGTTGAATACTGGATAACAGAGTTTACTGTATGTGCCTAATATGAAAAAATATTCATATCGTATACATCATTGCCTGTACCATTGTACAAAATTTGCAAAATAGCAATGTGTCCTAATGATCAGGTCTGCTCCAAGATAATATATTTAATAAATGAAAACTCTCAACTTATGTTGCAGCTCAACAAAAATACCCAACCAGAAGATGTGCCGGTAATGTTTTTGCTGGCAGTCCTCAGAGCATTAAATTACGATTACATATAAATTAGCACTGTATGCAAGGTCATTCAACCAGTAGAGTGGAGTAAAGAAAGAAGGAACCCTAACAAATAATACTGTGTCCTTTGTCCCAAGGTTAATGGTTGATGACATTTTTATAGCCTTTTTCAGCTCTTAGTACTTGGTTAACATCCTGTATTTAGGCTATAGCTATGGAAATGGTTCACATCAGTTATTCCAGGCGTATAATCAAGAATCTCTATTAATACTTTGCTTTAGATTCCAGGAAGCCAAGGCACAATTATATAATTGTCTTTGAGAAGCTAAAATTTCCACTCCATGAAAATTGTGTTGACAGGCATTTACAGACCAAATACCAAATACAATTTACTTTCTCTGCACTCTTATATAGTTATGATATGGAAAAACTTAGACTTTTAAGCAATAAGCCGATACAATATTATATATTTGGGTAGCAGCCACAAGAAAAGGTATACTACGTTTATGGTTATTGGCAAACCATACCCCTTTTGAAAGAGTTTGCATAAAATATGTCTGGTGAATTGGATGGAAACCAACTCGTACAAACCGAAATTGGATGCAAAAATGCTTATAAACATGGACACTATTACTGCAAAATTCTTTACAAACTGTTGTTTTTTAATTGATTGACCTGACATCGTCCATTCATAATTGAGCCCATAAGAGGCATATGAAGGAGAATAGCGAATTTTGTTTTATTTATTCAGTATTCTGCACTATCCTGAAAATACAGAAGAGAGGAAGTTCTCATTTTGGTCTAGGGGTTGGAATAAAGCAGAATTAGTTACTCGGTTCCCGGCTCCCTCCAGTTTTTTAGACCAGCCTCTTCTCCCCTGGGCTCTGGAGGTCTAAGGACTGCTGACATCATCACGTCTTATGTAGGTCCATTGACTTGCATTAGACATGAGGATGTTGGGGGAAATTCTATAGCTGGAGCAGAGGGAGAAAGAGGTAGGTACTGCTGCAGGAGCTAGGATTAGACAAGTAAAACCGTTTTATTTGAGTCCCCTAGACAAAACAAACCCTTAACCTTTGCAGTGCAGGGGTAGCCTCACTACATGGGTAAGTTTTTAATTTGCCTGGTGTTCTTCTTTAACTACTTGCTGTGCGGAGCAGTTTCTAAATTTTTGCACACATGATAAAATCTGAAATTTTGGCTAGAAAACCGCTTAATACCCCTGAAACAATGATATATTTTCTGAAAGCAGAGGCCCTCTAGAATTAAAAAAAAAAAATGCTAGTTGCAATTTTTTTATGTTGCACGATATTTGTGCAAATGTTTATCAAGCCAGTATTTTTGGGATAAAATACACTAAAATGAATTTTAGTTCACAGTAACTGAATTTAAAACCCATTTTTTTTTTTTTTGTAAAATGTAAAAGATGGAGTTACATCGAGGCAATAGATGCCAAACGTGTCAAGTGATAAAAATTGTGTGCAATCGTTTGGCTATTTTACTGCCTTTTACTACTCATCAGTTTAGGGTTAACAGTGAGTTATAGCCCTAAAATTATTGCTGTCACTCAAATGTTTGCGGCGATACCTAACTTGTGGCGCAATCGTCGTTTATTTACATCTGTATGCCCTACGTGCGCGTTTTCGTTCACATGTTGTTGTTGGGGTTGGTTTTTATTTTTACTTTTCCACTTAACTTTTTATTGCTGCCACACAGGGGCTAACAAGCTCCTATCTGATAGCATTTGGAGGTGACAGATTCTCTTTATGGAGACATCTGGGGTCTATCAGACCCCAGATGTCTCCCCTGGCCACCAATACAGGTGATCGAGCACAGCATTGTGCTTGATCCAGTGAGTAACTAGCATTTCTGCCGAACTTGTGACAGCTGTGTGTACAGTGCTTCCTGACTTGCTGATCAGAGAGCAGATCGGGGAACGGACGTTCTTCATTCTGCTCCCGCTCTCCATCCTGACACTAATAGCCATGGTCCCGGATCCCCCAGAGAAGCAGGGGACCCTGAAAACCACAGCAGTGAGGTGGGAGGAGAGGGGGACAATATTGCAGCCTGCTACAAGTGATCTTGGTGGCTGTACAGCCGCCAAGATCACTTGTACAGATCAAGCTCCGACTGTTGAAAAAAGCTACCAAGATCATGGCGGCAGCAGCAGCAGCCGCAGCCATGATCTTGATTAAAGCAACTTCAGGACCATGATTAATGAACATCCGGCAGTCCTGAGTAGAACTATGGTCAAAATGTACATATATGGTGTAGTCTGTGACTACATTACCACAGTAGTTTTTGTATTTTTCTTTTTCCCCCTGTAAAACAGGTATATTACCTGTTGATTTCCCACTTCCTGTAACCGTGACGCTGTTTGTTCTCTGTTAGATCACACAACCCGTAGACAAGGTAGCCTTAGAGAAACATGCAGCAGATTTTTTTTTTCTAAACAAGCAGGTTATTAATTTACCATCCTTTTCTTGTAGAGATGAACATATCAAGTTTAACAAGGGCTTCATATTTAGCAGCCTTTTTGTATTCTGGTTATGACATGATCCTTGATTCCATCTAATTCTCTGTATTCTGTTTTTCACAGGTTAATAGAGGAGTACCTCTCTCCACTACCAAGCTCTCCTTCTAAGAAAGGCTGTACTGCTAAACGGAAGCAGTATTATATAAATCGTGCCATCCGCAACTCTGATCTAACTCCAAGGGCCAAAGGGAGAAAGAGTCTACGCCGCCTGGAAAACAGTGAGACAAATAAAGGGGAGAGGGCACTTGCACACAAATTACTAGCTATAAATAAAATGTGTCAGTGGCCACATATTTCTGTTTGATCTTTTTCATGACTGGCTCTGACTAAAGTTCTCACTAAAAACTGTGATAGTATGCGGTCTCTATGGGTAAATACTCAATCCACATAGGTATAAGCCAACTCAAGTAAACACCTTTTTGTAGTTTGCTCTAAAAATAAATTTTTAAAAATATTTTGTCACGTAAATATCATGTCTAAATGATTAACACTTCCTAAGTCTGATGCCAATGCTACTAATTTTGGCGTGGGCATCTAGGCATCAATAGTCACAAAAGGGTTAACCAAATGGTGGTAGACCAGTAAACTAGAGCAAAATAAGTGCTAGATTTGGATTTAGATTTGGGTATTGTATTTGTTATGCAAACCTAGGATCATTTGGCTGCGTGACTGCAATATTTTAACATTTAACAGCGTTTTTCATTTAAATACCGTATATACTCGAGTATAAGCCGTCCCGAATATAAGCCGAGGTACCTAATTTTACCACAAAAAACTGGGAAAAAGTATTGACTCGAATATAAGCCGAGGGTGGGAAATGAGGCAGCTACTGGTAAATGTACAAAATGAAGATAGATACCAATAAAATTACATGAATATTTATTTCAAAGAAAAACAATAACTTAGCTCTGTACGTGGAAAAGGGGGGTCAACATTAACAATATGGTATCAAAAATACCGTAACTTTAAAAGTACAACAACCTTAGCTCAATCGGCAACCAAGCTAACACACAAGAGCTAAAATCCTTCAAAACTGGAGTTCTCCTCCTCATCATCTGTATGTCCAAACATACAAACAGCTTCAGCTGGTGTGAGGTTATCAGCACAGACATTGTCATCATCACTGAGTTCACAGTCATCACCATCACTGCTGTCGTTCTCATACAAAGCGCTGTCTTCACTGCCATCCATAGCATTACTAATGCCACATTTCTTGAAGGCGCGTTGCACCAAGCTTTCATTTTCCGCCACTCCCTTACTTGTTTTTCGTCAACACAAAATTCCCTACTTGCAATACTGTTATTGCTTTCTTCTGCTCTTGACACAACCTTAAGTTTTAAACCAGCTTCGTATGACCTGCGTTTTTGTTTTGGTCCAGGATTAGAAGTACCGATATTGGGATCCATTTCTAACAGGATAAAAAAATGAATTTTTTTGAAAATGAATTGTCCCTCCTTTTTGACCCCTCTTACTTCTCATAAGCCCCACTCCTTATAGAATCCACTCACTCCATCCCCTGCATTCCACATATTGTGTAAGGAGAATACAGCTCAGTGTCATAAGTGGGGTATATTGCAGGGCTCTGTGGGGTCTAACAAGGCTGGTTAGACCCCTCAGAGCCCTGGTGAGATCCCACACTGCCCTGGTTAAACCCGGGCTCCGTAGGGTCTCACCAGGGCTCTATGGGGTCCCACCAGGGCTATGTGCGATCTCACCAGCCTGGTGAGACCCCTCAGGGCCCTGGTGAGACCCCACAGAGCCCTGGTTAAACCAGGGCTCTGTGGGGTCTCACCAGAGCTTTGATGGGGCCTCACCAGGGTAGCAGGGCTCTGTGGGGTCTAACCAGCCTTGTTAGACCCCACAGAGCCCTGGCAAGACCCCACAGAGCCCTGGTCTCACCAGGGCTCCATGGGGTCTCACCATGGCTTTGTGGGGTCTCACCAAGGCTTTCTGGGGACTCACCAGGGCAGCAGATTTCTAACAGGGTAGTAGATTTTACATGACACATTTAATTTTTATTTTAGCTGCCTTGTTGTATGTATGTATGTATGTATGTATGTATGTATGTACATATTGTCAACACGTGTACATATTGTGCACTAATGAATCAGGAGACTCACCGGCTCAAGGGATCCTGTCAGGTAACGAAGGGAAGGGAGAGGAGTCCGGTGACATCAACGTCAACGGACTCCTTTCTCCTTCCCTTCGTTACCCATCACGGACAACTACATCACCCGACTCCTCCCCCCTTCCCTTCGATAGCCGACAGAGCCACTCGGGGAGGGGGGGAGGAGTCCGGTGACGTCGATGTCCGTGACGTCACCGGATCTCCGACGGAAGACCCGGAAGCCGGCGGAGAGGTGAGTACAGATCAAATGAACGATCAACCGTGGATTCGGCACCCCTACTTAGAACGTGACCAGCCTACCTAGAGCCCGCTGACTCGAGTCAGAGCCCGCTGACTTTTTTAAAAAGGGACACCAGAGCACGCTGACTCAAGTATAAGCCGAGGGGGGCACTTTTCAGCCAAAAAAATGGGCTGAAAAACTCGGCTTATACTCGAGTATATACGGTAATAAATCCTTACATGGGTAAGGTGAGCGTGTCTCTTTAGCCCCTTCATGACTGAGCTTGTTTTTCATTTCTGTTCATTAATGACTGATGCACTTTTAAAATTTTTGCTTTGTGATACTTCAACTGCAGTGAAATACTTTCTTACTAAGTGCACCCACACATATTGTTTTTTAGAGGACAGATAGGGCTATATATTTATATCACATGTGTACTGAACGCCTTACTTAGGGCGAATAAAATCTAAAAAAAAAAATCAGGTAAATACACTTTTTTTTTTCTCCAGTTTTGAGTATTATTTTTTTAGAAAAATAGCACATCTGAAAAAATGCATTTAAATAATGTATTTGCCCTTTATTTAGAAACACCTCGCATCCCTAGGATTTTTGAAAATGTTCCGTACTTCTCAGCCTAAAACTTAAAGCAAACATTTAAAAATGTTTTTCTCTAAAAGCTAATAGTGGCCACCTGGCATACAATGTCACTAGGTGTCATAGTTAGTGACAGCGACATACTTTGAAAATTGCCGTCATGAGGGTGTTAAATATAAAATCTCAACTTGAGGGTGAAAAACAAATCTGCTCAGCTGCAGATTTTCATTATAAGGGGTTAATTTATATAAAATGGATAGTACAAAAATATATTTACAGTGTGTGTATATATGTATATATTTATATACACACAATCTGTGCATGTGTATGGACAGGACAGCAACAGAGAGATGATTGGTTCTCCTATCTACAGGAAACGCAATTAACCTTCTGGGAATCTTAAAGACAAGATGCCAATACATCTATGGCTCCAGCCTTATCTCCTACATGCGTAGCGAGAAATATGGACTTGTGGCTAGAAAGGGTGTCTCAGCACATGTCCCAGGGAGCTCCCTCGGAACAGATTGGTGAGTCCCTTTTCAGTAATGGGGAAAGCAGTTTCCTACCTTGCTGATGCAGCAGCTGAATCTGTGCACGCCTCTGCTAGATCTGCGGCCCTTATGAATTTAACCAAAAGGGTGGTATGTTTAAAAGCCTGGGATGGGAATATTTCCTCTAAAACTAAACTATATTGTCTAACTTTTAAGGGGGGCTTAATCTTTGGTTCTGTTTTAGACAATGTATCTTCCAAATCCTCAGCACTATTTAGGCGATTTTTTTTTTTTGTGGTGATCAATAGATCGGTGCCAATACAGAAAAAGATTTTTCCCCCCCGGGACCTGTCATTGATTCTTAGAGATCTTACTAAAGAACCTTTTGAACCAATAGAGGATTGCCTCAGTAAAATGGTTGTCTTTCAAGATAGTGTTTCTTTTGGCAATAACTTCCGTTAGAAGAGTAGGAGACCTACAGGCCTTTAAATTAAAGATCCCTATCTTTCTATTTTACCAGACAGAGTAATCTTAAGACCAGATCCTATGTATCTACCTAAAGGTGACTTCCTTTTTTTCATAGATTGCAAGCATTTCCTTTACCTTCTTTTTGCGAGTACCCTAAAAATCAGGGGGAGGTGGTCTTTCATACTTTAGATGTCAGAAGATGTCTTATTAGGTACCTGGAAGTTTCCAAGAATTTTAGAAAGACCAGTCAATTTTTTGTCTTATTTGGAGGGACAAAAAAGGGCTATTTAGCTTTCCGTTCTACTATTGCTAGGAGGATTAGACAAACACTTGTATTTCTATATAAGAATGAAGGATTAGAAGTCCCTATATCCATTAGGGCACATTCTACCTGATCTTCGGCTACTTCATGGGCAGAGAAAGCGGGCGCTTCAGTGGATCAGATCTGCAGAGCTGCAGTTTGGTCAACTCAGGACACCCTTTGTGAAACACTACAGAGTGGAGGTCCTGTTGCAGCAAGATCTAGCCTTCGGCAGGAAGGTTCTGCAGACTGTTGTCCTGCCCTAAGGTAGGCCTGTTGGTTTACTTGGTTATTCTCTCAGTTTGATGTCCTGGAAGATGAGTGGGGAAAATCCCAGTTAGACTTACTGGTAACGGTGTTTCTAAGAATCTTCCAGGGCAGCAGGCCTACTTCCCACCCGTGTTTATGGTATATATTAGCATGGTTGTTTTTTTTCCCCCTCGTGCACTGGTGGAGGTACTTTACTTTAATACCTACTGAGGTTTCCTGTAGATAGGAGAGCCAATCATCTCTTAGGTTGCTGTCCTGGAAGATTCTTAGAAACAATGTTACCGGTAAGTCTAACTGAGAATATATATTTATCTTGTTCCAGCATAGCAACATGTAGCTAAATGTTTCTATTCTGAAATAGAATAGGCGCGCGCAAGCGGAAAATGGGCGGAATTTAAAAACGGGCAGCGATGCCCGTTAATATACATGCGATCCGCCGGCTGTAGAGCCGGCCGATCGCATGTATGGGGTGCCACAGTACAATTTTTTTCTTTTTTACATTTCAGTACAGCGTTGCATGACGGAATAAACGTCAGTCAAAGTATCGCAGCGCTGAATACTGAAAAATGGCCTGGCCAGGAAGGGGGTCTAAACACCTGGTCTTGAAGTGGTTAAATAATTTTTAGTGCACACAAACACACTTTTTTTTTTTTTTTTAACACAGTTTTGCTTTGGCTTTGGGAAACAAATACACATCTGCATCTGCATACGGCTCCATTCACACCTGTGCATTTTTAAATGTGTGTTTTTACATGCGGACAAAATTGTGCAATTTTTAATAGATGGGTTCTTACGGCTACTGCCCAGAAAGGCGCACATGTATTTTTTTGCTGCGTTCTGTGTTTTTGTAAGTGCAAATGCGCAGGTGTGAATGAGCCCTGTAAAAATGTATTGCTTTTTGTGTTTTGCGCGTTTCCACACGTATAGATACACACAGAAAAACGTTCAGGTGTGAAGTGTTTTTTGAGGTTCGCCCATTACAGGGCCAGTAATGGGAACAGATTGCTCAATGTTTTCTTTTTTTACCTTTTTATAGATCGCTATTTGATGACTTTGCTGGAGAAAGATGAATGTGTGACAGAAGAGGGTGAAACCTGTAATTATTCTCCCCCCAGCATATTTACTGAAGCCTGTAATAATGAGACATACATTGAGGTACAAACATGTATGAAATTGTTATTAAAGAGTCTTGTGTATTTGTACATCTGTTTACTTGAATCTGTATACAATAACCGCTTCAGGGCCAGCATATGTATATAAACGGAGGCAAACTAAATTGGTTATACCAAGATCATGGCTGCTACAGCAGCCATGATCTTGGTACAGCAGCCATGATCTTGTTTTAATTGTTTACAGCCGGTGGTGGCTGTTTACATTCAGGGGTTCAGGAGGCTCTATAACTTGTATGGTGTCGGAAGGGTGCCCCCTCTGCTGCCGCTGCTGGCTCTCCCCTGTGCAGGCACCGGACCAACACAGTGGGTCTCTGCACCTCAATCGGAGGTAGATCAGCACATTTCCAGCGACTGAAGCATTTGTTGTAAAAAAATTGGGGGGAGGGTTGTTTATTATGGTGAACAGGTACTTCTGTCTGCTGTCCAACAGACCCTGTAGTGTTTATTCCACACTGCTCTGCATTTGACGTTGCATCTATAAAGTGCAGTATGGAGCATGTGGTGTGCAATCAAGTGTTTTCTGCTTTGGGTTGCAGTCTGTGGTAGGAGGAGTGGATGGAATTAGGATTTTGACTGGCCAGATAATCGGCTCCCATTCACCTGGTAGTGTTTTTTTGGGGGGTGGGGGTTTTCATTCAATTAAATGGGCTTCACTTGCTTTGAGTCCCGAATCAGGCTAAGCATAATAAATATTTGTAAAGCCCACCACTGTGCATAATGTGCCAGTTTATTTATTTTTTAAACTGGACCCCTTTATATTATTGCCAATTGTTAGTTTTATTAAAGTTGTGTGTCACAACTTAATTACAAATTTTGTTTCTTTATTGGCTTAAATTTAAAACTTTTCTGTTTTAATGGATTTAGGCCTTTGCACAAAGGACTGAACCAGCACCTAGTGTGTGTACATACCTTTCTTTATCTTCCTGATTGCCCTTGGAGTTCCCAAACCCCTTGGGCTTCCAGTTCTTTAATAAGGCCCTCCCACTGATTTCCTCATTATAATGCACAGCACTCCCTATCCTATAAAAAACATAGGCATTTTATGCTTTGGACTTTAAAGCTAAACTCCAAAATAACTTTTTGTGCATTGGCACTGTAAAAATCAATTACTACTATTGAAGTGTGTGTCATTGTATTCTGCTGTGTTTGGAATTTTTTTTGCTTTCAGTTAGCCCTTACAGCAAAGTAAACGCCAAACATCCAGCGTTGAGACTCAGTTCCAGGTGTTTCATTTCAATATACCTACAGAGAATGTTAATCCAGTTTGTGTACACCTCATGGCTAGATATGACCATGGGAAAGAAGCAGTTATATCATCCCTATGCTATACATAACCTGAGCAGAGCTGTGGGAGGAGCCCTACAGAAAACCACATGGTGGGAGGTGCAAGACCAGTCAACCTGCACAAGGAGAGAGAGCAGAAGTTACTGGTCTTTATTGCATAGAGGCAAGGTTTCACACTGGAGACACAGATCTGGAAGAAATACAGAAAGCAAGTAACAATACACATAGCTTTTGTATTTAGACAAAATGCGCTGATCCTGCAGTTGAGCGTGAAGTGAGAATAGATCTCCAAAAAATAAAGCCTGACAGAGGGTCCTAACCCTTTGCCACTTAAATCAAACCTATTAAAATATGTTTTTGCTGGGGTTTTAAATGATACTTTACCATTTTTAAATAACAAATGACTAGTAAAGCACTAAATGAATATTTGCTTATCAAAGTCATTTTTTAGATGATATACACTATAATGCCAAAAGTATTGGGACACTCCTCCAAATCATTGGACTCGGGTGTTCCTATCACCTCCATGGCCACATGTGTATAAAACCAAGCAACTAGGCATGCAGACTGATTCTACAAACATTTGTGAAAGAATGGGCCGCTCTCAGGAGCTCAGTGAATTCAAGCGTGGTACCGTGATAGGTTGCCACCTGTGCAATAAGTCCATATGTAAAATGTCCTTGCTACTAAATATTCCACGGTCCACTGTTAGTGGTATTATAACACAGTGGAAGCAACTGGGAACAACAGCAACTCAGCCATGAAGTGGTAGGCCACGTCAAATGACGGAGCGGGGTCACAGTGCGCAGAAGTCTCCACTGTCGACAGTCAATAGCTACAGACCTCCAAACTTCATGTGGCCTTCAGATTGGCACAAAAACAGTGCGTAGAGAGCTTCATGGAATGGGTTTCCATGGCCGAGCGGCTGCATCCAAGCCTTACATCACCAAGTGCAATGCAAAGCATTGGATTAAGTGCCGCCACTGGACTCTAGAGAAGTGAAGACGTGTTCTCTGGAGTGACAAATCACGCTTCTCTGTCTGGCAATCCAATGGACGTGTCTGGGTTTGGCGGTTGCCAGGAGAACGGTACTTGCCTGACTGCATTGTGCCAAGTGTAAAGTTTGGTGGAGGGGGGATTATGGTGTGGGGTTGTTTTTCATGGGTTGTGCTTGGCTCCTTAGTTCCAGTGAAGGGAACTCTTAAGGCATCACCATACCAAGACATTTTGGACAATTTCTTGCTCCCAACTTTGTGGGAACAATTTGGGGATGGCCCCTTCCTGTTCCAACATGACTGCACACCAGTGCACAAAGCAAGGTCCATAAAGACATGGGTGAGCGGTGGAGGAGCTTGACTGGCCTGCACAGAGTCCTGACCTCAACCCGATAGAACACCTTTGGGATGAATAAGAGCGGAGACTGTGAGCCAGGCCTTCTCGTCCAACATTCCTTCTGGTCAAACATTCCCATAGACTCGCTCCTAAACCTTGTGGTCGCCTTCCCAGAAGAGTTGAAGCTGATATAGCTGCAAAGGGTGGGCCAACTCAATATTAAACCCTACGGGCTAAGACTGGGATACCATTAAAGTTCATGTGCGTGTAAAGGCAGGCGTCCCAATACTTTTGGCAATATAGTGTATCGTTTAGCAGATCTGTCTAGTGTCTCCATGGGAATGAGAACAAAATAATTTCTTTTAGGTTCATATAATAGGAGTATGGCTTTTCCAAGTCAATTCTGTTCTTACGTAATATGTATTTTAGCCACTTCCACAAACACTTCTAATCCATTTGGCAGTAGTTGACCACTTAAACGTACCGTTTGTGTTTCTCTTGAATGGTTTTCAAATGGTGTCTTGAGCTGTAGAAAGTGATTTTCTTACGCTATAACAATAGGTACAGTTTGTTCCCTCTCTGGCAGCTTTACTACACTACCACAGATGAAAAAATATATTGATTGTCAATTATTGATAGAATTCTGAACCTACACGCACTACATTGTGCAAAAAGCACTTACTTCTGGAGGTCACAACATCTTATGGAAAGTTTTTGACTGCTGTTTTTATTTTCTTTAGCAGTGTCCTGCTGCATAGCTTCTCTACACAATAGTCATTTTTTTTTTTTGCAGATATGGAATGATTTCATGAACCGCTCTGGAGAAGAGCAAGAGAAGGTGCTCTTGTACTTGGAGCAGGAAGTGAGGCGACCTAGAGAAAGGGCTAATAAAGGAAAAGATAAGAGGACAGGTACCTTCCTAAACCATTTGTCTGTATGTGCGGTATTGGGGGATAGTGTGAACAGCAGCAAAATGACCTACATTTAACGTGCTGGGGAATGCTTAGTTGACATTTTGTCACCACTGGTATCTCTATAAGAGAAGTCTTGATTTATATGCCACAATATGAAGGACGGATCACTGCTTTAAGTGTTTTTTATTATGTACAATCAAATTTTCTTTTATATTTTTGTATAAAATAAAGGTGTATTCTTAACCTACTTTTGTGCTATATCAGTGGTGTTTTTGATACCTTAAAAGCCCCCATCTTGTCCACATATTATAAGAAAGTAGACTGTTAGGCCTGGTTCACACCTCTACGAACGCTCTACAAAACGCTCACACATGAAAATCCCATTGTTTTCTATGGGTATGGTTCACACCTTGCCGTATTTCAGCCCGTCTGAATGCGCTACAAAACGGCCTACGCCTGAAAAGGTACATGAGCTTCTTTGCAGCGTTTTTGTCGCGCGTTTCCATTGGGATACAGCCAAGTAGCCCTCGGAAACGCGCGTTTGTTGCGCGTTTTTTTTATCGCGGTAAAAAGGCGCATATTCGATACGCCTAGGTGTGAACAGAGCCTTATGCATTGTTATAGATCAGTTGTGTGTTTCTAAATCAGTAGCCAGGGTATGGACATTTGAGCATTTACATACCCTTTAGCAGCCCTCACTAACCTCTAAATCTCCAGGCACTCTCAAAAAATTCATTCTCACAGCAGAACTAAGGCAATTATCTCTCAGCAGCTCATCTCGCTGTGCTCTCTTTTCCAAGAGCACCTGCTATGTATTTACATTAGAGATTAAAAGAATAGCAAGTCACTGCTGGGAGGGAGTGGGGCAGAGTGAGGTAAGCTGCTGTGCGAACAACTTGAAGGACTTCCATTCTTCTACTGTGGGCTTCGAGGATGAATTGCTTTACATTCAGTGTAGTTACAGTGGTCAGAGTACTTTGTGTAAAGTTCATTTGCTGCATAAGAATATGCAAATATTGGAATGTCCATAGTCTGGTCACAGGTTCACTTTAAAGTGGAACTCCAGCAGATTTTCCTTTTTTTAGAAAGTGGGTAAGGACTAGATCCTATGTCAGACCTTTTTCTCCATAGTCAATTTAGGGACACAGCTCTAAAGAATTCTGAGACGTAGGGCCATGCTGCTGCCTTCAGCAGAAATGCACACTAGGCAAAAAATTTAAAGCCTGCCCTTCATTCCTGCCAGTTTCCCTTAGGGTCCTCAGGAGAATAGATGTCTCCTTCTCATCTGCTTTTTTTTTTTTCTTTATTTTGGTTTGTTTTGTTTCTTTGGTGAGCTTCTACTGTTTCTTGCCTTAATAGGGATTGACGATTCCTATTGACAATGCCCCATCATGTAGAGAGCCTACTGATAATTGGAACCTCTTGCTTTATTTACTTTTAATGGGTTAAGATTTGCTCTCCCCTGTTAGCCACAGTTCTTTTTTCCCAGACTCTGGTCTAAGGACAGGTTCACACCATTTTCTGGGCCAGATCTGGAACGCACTGCGTGGCATTTTGATGCGTTTTTGACGCGTTCAATTTTAGTTCTTGCTTGAGAACCTCTGCAAGATAGCCAGGAAAAGAGCAGCACAATGCTTGCACATGAACTTACCACAGTTGTTCTTTTTAGATCTGCTCAAATGATCATAGCCAGGGACATCCTGGGCAGCAATCCTTCTCCACTTGTCCCATCTTCCTATTATTGTTCTTATATTGCCCATGCCTCGGATCATACAGCTTTGGGCAAGCTTCCACAAGTTCTACAAATAATTCAGTGTGTCCTATCTTCACAAACATCTCTTTCCACAGAAGCAGGAAGTCCAGGAGTGATGAGATCATCCAAACCAGCCAAAACATTTTTTTTCTCCGTTGCGTTACAGTGCGTTTTTGTCGCGTTCCAGACCAGGCAGAATGTGACACGCAGTATTTTTCTGGTCTGGAACTGACTGCGATGGTGTGAACTGAGGCCAAGAAGAGCATAGGGAAACATTGGGATGCATTTTAGGTCCAGAAACAATCTGGTCTGGTCTGAAGGTGATCTAGAGGTGGTGTGAATGGGCCCTAAGACCGTGAGTGCTGACCCACATTTTATGGATTGTGTTAATCAGATGACAGTTGCGTCTCCTTTTGTGTGAAATATAGTTCTTGATGCCTGTCTAGAGTATTCCTTTCCTCTGTTCAGAGTCAAAGAGCCATTTGGCTTAAGTGCTAGTCAGCAGAGCCTCAATATAAGAAGGGACTTTTATGCCCTATGTGACCCTCTTTTCCATGCATTGCTGGATAATAAAATTATTAGATAAGCTACTCTAGAGTGTTTTAGTTTCCAGGGCAGCAAGTCTCCTTCCTCTGCTAGGCCATCAGATTCTTCCAAACTCCCCTGACAGTCCAAGAACTCCAAATCCACAGATAAGTTGTCTTCGTCATAAAGGTCAACCTCCACCTGTTCGCTGGGTGCGGGAATATCTGTTCTACAAAAACCTCCCTTTGAGCCTATTTAAGATATTTCTTGGTCTTTGTTGACCCAAAAGTTTGCCTTTTTGGTGGCCATTATCTTGGCTAGAAGGGTCTCTGGGTGGTCTGCTTTGACTTGTAGAGAACCCCTTTTGGTTCTTCATAAGGACAAGCTTGTTTTAAAACCTGAAGGTTTCCTTTTTTCCCCTGGTGGTTTCAGCCTCTCATTTAAAGTGACACTGAACTCAGGAGTTAAATCTTAAAAATGCATTCAAGTTGTTAGGGTACGTGGACTCCTTTAATCGGACCAACCAGAGAAATCCCTTATCAGAGCTCCGGGAGCACAAAATAACAGACACAATTTGATAGTCACAATATGCTCATTTTATTGACGTCGGGTCTCGGTTTATATACACCTCAGACAAAGAAATAGTTATGGTACCATATATGGTTATAAGTCTTATCTTTGATTAAAATAACTCGTAAGCAGTTTTAGGAAGAAACACATCTTAACTTACATACGGCCTATATCCGGCTATCCTAATATAGGCTTGTTTGTCCGTTCTGTAACAGTCTTTATTCTAGTTCCAGTGCATGACCGAAAGATATGAAACACTCCTAGGAACAACATGTACACCATTCTGTTACAAAGAGTACCAGACACAGGATGACAGGATCTGCACACGGAATGCATTTTTTTAAAGATTTAACTTCTGAGTTTAGTGTCACTTTAAATGAAAAGACATTGTTTTACTTTTACTCTATCCAGCTTCTGTTCATCCTAGGAAAATTTATCTTCAAATTTCTGCTTTGGATGTAGTGCAGGATATCGGAGTTCATCTTTCAGCCAATGCTTCCTTTAGACGTATGGATTCTTTCTTTGTCCTACCAGAAGGTCCTGGAAAGGTTGTTCAGCTTTGTGACCCACTATTCCTAAGTGGATTTGTCAGGTTGTAATTCAACCTTATGAGTTTTGGGATAAGGTACCTCCCTTTCCTATTTCTACTCATTCTATTAGAGCCATTAGTGCTTCTTGAGCCTTTTATTAATGTTAGTGTCGGACAGGGGAGGGGCGGATACAGCTGGCTCTGTTTCTAGATAGGCAGAGCCAGCTGTCACTCAAGCAGCTGGGTGGATCCCAACAGTGATGTCGGGATCCGTCCCGGCTGCGGCGATCTCCGTATACCGCGAGCTGTAGCTTGCGGTATACTGAGCTTTAAAAGGTCACGGGAGGACGCTAGTTTATGTCCTCCCGTGAACCTTAGGAGAACTATGGAGAAAAACACCCCATAGTCCTTTTTAAGATTTCCTGGGGTTCAATCGTGCTGCCAGCTTCAGACAAGTACTTGGGAATAAAGAGTCACACCAAAATGTGTATTCACTCTATATTCAAAGGTTTATTGTTTTATAAACAAAAGGTTATATGTAAAACTAAAAGGGGAATAGTTGAGCATAAACCAATTAAATCCATGCACGTATACAACAAGATACAACAAGATAAAACTAATCATGATAGAAAGGATTTTATTTGACATCTCAAATACCATATTTGCCGGCGTATAAGATGACTCGGCGTATAAGATGACTCGGCGTATAAGACGACCCCCTACTCGACGTATAAGACGAGTGTAGCCCAAATAATGTTATTTATATAATGTTTAATGCACCCACTAACCTCCCATGGCGGTATTCCCGAGTGTGGCTCGGGGTTAATTTTCACTACCATAAGCGGTAACCCCGAGCAACACTCGGGATTACATTCTCTTACCTTGTCCACGATCCCCGCTGTGTCCTCCGGGTTCTGTCCCTTGCGAGCGTCCGCTTTGCAGGGGGGCGGAACCGGCGGTATTTTAAAAGTTAAAAAAAAATGGAACGAAAAAATAATTAGGGAGGCTAATCTGTCAGCCCGATGTAAGGCATGCTTACACCCCTGAGGAATGTTACCAGCGGATTAACCGTAGCCTGCGTTGTACCCTTAAAAGACGCCAAATTCCAATGGTTAAGTATTGTTTACTTGCATACTAAAGAGGTTGCCTCAAATCCACATCCTAAACTCTAAGCTCTGTATTATCCATCTGGTATATATTGTTAAATGTTGCATGTTTAATGCGCTTTTGTTTTCCAGCAAATGTGTACTCATTCTTGAATAGGTTCATTTAGGCTAATTAGTTGTTTGGTCTCAGTTGTGCATAATGCGCTTGTATGTATTGTTTCAGAGTAAAGACAACCAGGCAAGTGTGCCATTTCACTTTTTCCTGAGCCTGCAGTGCATAGAGAAATGAAGGGATCTCATCAGAAGGCAGAGTGAACCTGATCATGGATTGGAGGTTTTACAGTTGACCCCTTGTTAAAAAAAAAAAAAAAAAGGCTAAATAGGCAGTGATGATGGCCTATGGGGGGATTGAGGTGACAGAGTAACAGCTGATCAAAGACAAGTTGTGGGTAGAAGACAGTGAAGGGACTTATCTTGCCTGATCGTGGTGTTTGGTATGGGGGGGTTCTGGGCAGAAGGGAGAGGTAGTAGACTAGGGCACATTGGTCAAAGAGGCAGACATGAGATGTAAGAGTTGAGACATGGAGTGGTAGGAAAACAGTGGGGGCAAAGCTGCTCATGTACCGTTGGGAGAATATTTAAGCTGCCCATACACCTTGCGATCATCGGACAAAACATTTCGTCCAATGATCGAACCGTTGTACGATTTTCGTACGGCAGCCCCATCCTGCCCCGATTATCACAAGGTTCAATCAGCGTAAAAAAAAACAAAAAAAAAACACCTGGACGAATTGCGGAAATCGACCGCACATTTTCGTTTGCGCATGAGCAGTGTAAATCGTACGAATTTTGCCATGCGAAAATCGTACGATCGACCGAAGTTTTCTAACCTGTTGGATAATCAAAAGTCGATTGTACAGTATTTGCGGTTATACACTGCCCATCAACCTTAATATCGGACGAAAACTTGATCGCATACGAAAATCGGCCGATAATCGTAAGGTGTATGGGCACCTTTTTTAGTGTGCAAGCTGATCAAGGCTGAGATTGGGGGGAGAATGAGGGAGAAATGCAAAGCAGGTGCTAGTTGTGGCGCAGGAGCGTAGGAGAAAAGGCAGAAAGAGAAATTAACATGGCCAGGAAGCTTAGGGAAAAATAACTGAGGCTGCGAGCATCAGAGAATCGGAGGGAGAGGTGATTGTAAACAAGGAAAGAAGAAGACACCCGACTGTGTCTGAGTAGTATAGGGGAAAGAGTAGACCAATGAGAAGCTGATGAGATATGATACAAGCAAAATCTTGTCATTTTTAGTTTCTGGTCCCAAAAATAACAACACTATGAAGGTAGAATTGTCTGTGGCTCTACAAAGAGGGGTACCAAATGGTGTATTTTAATTTTTTCCAAAATGTCCCCTTTCCAAATTCAAGCCAGTTGGGGACTTCAGATTCAGGGCACATGGCAAATCGCCAAATTTACACATCAAAGCCTGTTTATTGCATGTCATCGGAAATGACAAGTTATACATGCATGGAAAGATTAAACTTATATATCTGAAGTAAGTACATGTACCCATGTGACAGTAAAGTTTCAAATAGACTTTTAGGCAAGACAAATTGACATTCATACATTTTTAAAAATGCAGGTCACAGAATCATTGAGTTTGTTTGTGCAATGGCCCCTTATGTCCCTTTATAAACCCAGCACTGTCTACAGGCATCAAACAACCATTAGACAATGTAAGCTTCTCATTCATTCTGCAGAACTGTCCTAGCATAAACATGTACATTCACATGCTGGTTAATACTATATGCAGACACTCTTGGGTCTGGTCTTACCTTAAGCAATTATGACCAACGTTTAGGAAGATCTCATTTCAAGCTATCAGTTCTATTACTGTTCCAAAAATGGCCAGCCTAGGGATACCTGCACATCACAGGATTGTTATCAGTTGCATTTTCTATCAATCCACCTATGTGTTTGTGTATCTTGAAGCACAGCTCCACCTTTTATAAATTTGGTCCAGCTATCTTTAAGGGCTAGTGTTTTTGGACTTCAGAAGCAAGCTACTTGCAAAAAAAAAAAAAGCCTTGCATTTGAGAACCATTTGGGATACATTTGACATGCATATTGCTACAGCTCGCTGTATACTGAGACGCCACAGCCGAGACAGATCCCAACATTACTGTCGAGATCCACCCAGCTGCGTGCTTGATAGCTGGCTCTGCCTATCTAGAGGCAGAGCCAGCTGCACCTGCCCCCTCCCCATCCGTCGCCAGTCAGCACTGGAGGATCGGAGAGGGGATGAGGGAATCCCTCCAGGGAGCCGTGAGTGCCAGTCACAGCTCCCTGCAGGGAGATGATCGAGAAGTGAGCGAGTGACGGTATGTGTTCGCTCACTTCCCGATCTATTGAGCTGACGTGTGACAGTTTCATTGGCACACGTCGGCTCGAACTATGAGGCTGAGTGACTTTCACTCACCTCATAGTTCTCCTTTTAAGTAAGCAAAGTAGTGTTATGCATGGCAAAAGCAACAATATACCTACAAGCATACATTGCTTTATAGGATCGTATTTGAATTGTAAACCCTGCATTTAAACTGACTTCAGTAGCAAAATACAAATGCCCTTGAATGGTTGGGGAAGCTCTTGCTGAGCTTTGTTATGTAACAGCTTGCCTTTTTTTGTTCATTTCTCCCAGGGTACACTGGAATGTTTGGAGGAAGAGATGCTTTCATTCTTTTCAGTCAGTCCTGAGTCAGTATATATTGCCATGATGGAAAACAGGTATTTGATTCTATATTTCCCCCTTACTACTTTCTCAGAACCATTCATTAAAAAATCTATCATTCTCTCTTTCTTTCTGTGTGTGTGTTTGAAATTGTTAGGGTATTTGTGGTGTTGTGTCACAGCATTGGCCCCTTTTTTTTGGTCGACAAAGACCTTTACAGCAAGTTTCCCTCACAGATTTTCACCATTGCAACAATATAACAGAAAATGCTTAGCTTCCTGGCTATTCTCTGTCACTCATACCCTTAGTCCTTCTTGACACAGACCAATACACTCTAAACTGTGCAGCCTCCTGGCTATGGTGTTGCCCTGCTTGAGCTGAACAGGCTTTCTGCCTACTCTCACACTGTCCCTCTTTGGGTACAACAGTGACCCACTCCTTATTCTGTTAGACGTCAGCCGGATCAAGACGCCGACTGTGAAACCCCCCAAACCTGGACAAACACTGCACTTGCAGCCATGTGTCCCCTGGGGAGGGAGCACTGGCTGGCTAGCCTGATTCCCTTTTGTGGGACAACACCCACATGACTCCACTGAGTCTTTCACCTGTTCAGGCACCTTTTCACTGCTGAGCCAGCCCTAAAGGCTAAGGTTACCTTTCTGAGCATGCATCATGTCGTATCCATATTTAGGATGCAACATGAAATCTGGTCAGATCGCAATCCCTACCCCTCTAACCTGAGTCTTGGGGTTCTTCTCCCCAGAGGCTTGGTTAGCCTTCTGCCCTACAGCTATGTCATTCAATCAGAGATCCTTTGACCGGAGCTGTGAATGGCAGAGCGATTTGTGGTTCTCAAAAGGATACAAGTGTGGTGACATAGTCTATTGAGGTGGAGTCTGCAGGAGCCAGAGCATTGCACCCATGATCCACTCACCACGATTACAATGCTTTACTGGCTCCTACACAAAAAATAATACATGCAAATTTTTTATGAGACAATGTGCATTTATTTATTTTTTTTTAAAGGTGGAATTTCTCTGTCTCTTCAGACAGTGACAGACCATCCATCTGTTACAACGGATTTACATTTGCTGTCTGTAGTATATTTTTTTTTTTAGGGGAAAACTGGGGATGCACCAATACCGTGTTTTTTTTTGCTTACGAGTACTGATAATTTTTTATTTTTTGGTGCTCTCCAATACCAATGCTGGCATCCATGGACCTGGATTATCAGGCTTTCTGAATGCCAGGGAAGCCTAAGTGTTCTATCAAAAGAACACCGGCTTCATTTCGCCCGTGGCACGTCATGACCCACCGCCCATGCTGCGCAGAAGCCGGCTTCCTAGCCAATCAGGGAGGCAGGTCATAACCCGCCGCACGGATTCCTGATTGGCTGGGATGAAGCTCCATCCTTCCCCTCAGCAGTGCCGGTCAGAGGGAAATCTCCCTCTGCCCGGAAGTTCCGGTATCGAGAATGGTATCAGAGCACAAATACTCGGTATCAGCACTGATATCAATACTAGTATCGGTGTATCCCTAGGAAAAACTATTCAGATGTCTTATAGTGATGTCAAGCTGATTCCACTGACAGAAGGCCAAAGCTTGTCGACACAGGCCCTTGTGTGTTTTTGCCTCTCTTCACCTATAGCTGTGATTCACAAATTAAAAATTCCTATTTTGAGCTCTTCCAACCCCTGACTCAATAGAGGTTTTGTATTTCCTATTCAATGTATGAGTGAGTCCTAGTGAGTGTTTGCATGTTTTTTCTGCATTTTCTGAGATCTTTCAATTGGGATGGTAGTCATAGGCTGAATAGGATACAAAATACAAGTACCTCCAGGCTTCTTAGGTTGGTTGTGAGATGGGGAAAGTAGAGCGTAACAGTGCTCATAGACATTAGATGAAAGATGATACCGGAACCCTTCGTTTAAATCAGCTAAATACATTTCAGGTGCATCAAAACACCTAAAAAACTAATAGTTTTTTTTTGTTTTGCTAAGCTACATGCAGCTGCAATGTAATGCAGCTACAGTGTAAGTGAAAAAGCATGACTTGTGCCTGCAAATGCACAAATGCCTTGCTCTTTGCGGTGAGGAAGTGTTGGCTCTGGTCAGAGATGTCTGGCTCTGACTTGGCAGGGGGCATTGTTAGATCTCAGCAAAGAGTTCACCTCACAGAGCAAGGGTCCCACTCTGCAGCATGCTGCAGGACACCAGCTTTTCTACAGACTTTTTTAAAAGAAAACAAACTAAGATTTTATTTTGGTGCTTTTGGAATGTATTTGGCTAATTTAAACTGTAAGTTCAATTGGGCTTTCAAGGTAGTATCGGAAGATTTAGATGACCAGGCAGTATTAGATTATAACTGAACATTTGATCATCCTCTGGTATCTATGGCTAGGTTTGATTGTTACTTGTGTATGTTCTCTGATTTACACTAGATGTAATGACTCTTAGTATTTAAAAAAAAAAAAGTAAAAAATAGCAGAATCAGACATGTTATTATGATTTTATTTATACAATCTGTAAACTGGCACACGTAGCAATTCTGGAATTTAGTTGGGCAATCACTTTTTTTTTTATTTGTTTGTTGATAAAGGGAAAGAAGCAATTTAGGGCACACACAGTTACAATCAAATTTATTTGAAATGTATGCTCTGTCTTTAGGAAAACTGTTTCAAGATCTACTTTTCCTTCTTTTGCATTTCCTTGATCTTTTGGATTAATAAATGTTATCCTGTTAAATGCCACTTTAAACTGGTCATACATATTGAAGATACTGTACATTTCAAATGTATAATCTCATCTGGTTTTCTCGCAGTTACCAGCGCCTCCTGCTGCACGCTGTGTGTCAGTACATGGATCTGGCCTCTGCTAGTAAGAATTCTGGGATTTGTATGGGGACGGGGCAATGCAAGGAGGTCTGTGGTATATGACACATATTATTGAAATGCTTGGGAGGGTTTTTTGTTTTTTTTTAGATACAATAGGTATTCTCTGTTTTACATGTCTGTTTCAGCACAATTACTATGTCATAGTAGATTCTTTCCTAGATGCACAGTAATACTTACTATTTTGCTGTCGCTTATGTAACAAGTGTTTTGTCTTTTCACCAAAGCTGCCTAAACAGTTCATCATCACTCTAAAGGCAGTTTATGATTTGATTTGCTTTACCAAAGCAAAATCTGTGTTTAGTAATCTCATACCCAATCTCACCATTCATCATATGATGTTTTGCGTTAAAAAATTTCTGCGTGTTGCCAGGTCATCTAACATTTGCTGATTAGCCTTAGTTTTTAATTAGCAGTGTTGCTGTATAAATAGCGCAGCATTTTGCACTTTTAAAGCTGAGACAAACTGCTAAATACTCTGGTAAATGCATATATGCAATTTGCTTGATTTATCAGAGTTGGCTTTCTGGAGTTTTGTGTTATCTGATAGGCATGCATGTTGGTCAATGAAGAAGCATCAACAAACAGGTTAAAAAAGAACTTAACAAAAGCAAAGAGTTTTTCCCCTGAGGGGATACCACCATAACTCCAAAGTATTCAAAAGTGTAGTAAAAATATATATTTTTAATGAATAAATTTAAAATGCACACATCAAAAAAGACAGACATACATATATTGCATATAAGTCAGTACATTTGATATGTGTGCATTTTAAATGTATTCATTAAACATATATATTTTTACTACACTTTTGAATACTTTGGAGTTATGGTGGGATCCCCTCAGGGGAAAAACTCTTTGCTTTTGTTATAATCAATAACAGGGGACCTACCATGCTAAATATATATCTGGCATTATTATAAATTGTTTACTTTATACACCTTCCCTCCCCACGTACATGCTTAAAAAAGAACTTGCAATGGGGGTAGCCCCACTGCAAGGGTTAAGTGCTCGTTTGTGTAGTTGCTAAAATAACAGGTGTGTGTATATGTATATAAATATATATACATACATACATACACACATACATTTTTTGATATGTTAATTTTTATATTTTCTGATTTCTTTACATGTTTTTTTGTGCTATATTGTCAAAAAATCTTTAAATAAATATATTGGATATACTCACCAGAAGCTCTGAGCCGGCCAGCTGTCACATAGTTACATAGTCAGGTTGAAAAAAGAACCTATCGAGTTCAACCTATAGAGATATGAAAAAAAAACGTAAACTGAACGCTATGCCCACAATTACCCACTGTTGATCCGGCGCTCCCTCCAGCCTGTCTTCCCCTCCCTGCAGCATTGTAATCTTCCTCAGCGTCCTCACGTCTATACATTCTATAGACGTTGATGATTTGCGGGACCTTAGACTGCTGCAGAGGAGAGACGTTGGAAGGACCAGTGTAAGAAGCTGGCTCGGCTCTTTGGATGAGTAGAGCTTTGTTTTTTTTAACCTAGACACAAACGAGCAGTTAACCTTAGCAGTGCGGGGGTAGCCCCACTGCAAGGGTTAATAAAAAAAATTCCTAGAGTTCTTTAAGTTATCTCTCTCTGCTGCCTCCTGTCTGCAAGCTTCTCTTATTACATTGATAGCAATGCCCAGAGCAGTTGATTGCTGATTGGCTCCCTGACATATTTGTCTACCCTTCTGTATTATAAGAATATAGTAGGGTAATATAAATACATAACTAAATAGTGATTCAGTTTTGAATGTAAATGATCATATTTTTCAGAAGCATGCTTGCATCTACATCTAATGTTCAAAAGACTTTGTGAACATTTAGTGTTTGTGACACTTGTGATTTAGTAGTCATTCAAAGTCATCAGTGCTATGAGCCTCATCTCCATCCTCTTTCCAATTTCTCTTATGATAGGTTCCAACCTCCAAGGCAAACGCCAGATGCGTGTGGTGAACAGGAACAGAGAGTTTTGCCCCCCAGAATTGCTTCTCTCCACCTATCTGCAAATGAAATGCTGACAGATCGAGAGAGTGGTGGATGCTGGAGCCCGTTTGAGAACGTATTTAAACTTAAGGGCTTAAAATCTCGGTACAAAGAGCAGCTGTGTGCAGCAACCCACTGTAACTTTAGCACAAAACAGGCTTCTCAGAAGCTAACATGTGATTTAGTTTCTGTGAGTTAATGCACACCATTGCACTTTCTACTGTTTGTATTGTCCTCCAGAGAGTTATTTACAAATCTTGCATTTTCTTGTAAATGTGTTTGGAACCAGGTATACCATTGACTGGTTTCTATGATTTAAGAGCCTGTTCACACTAGCCCAGTCCACTGCTGTGTGTTAAACACAACCACAGCATTTAAATGGAAGGCCCAATGTACCACAGACAACCAATTATCACACAGGCAGCATTTTCAGCAGTGCACTGCAACACACATTGCCCTGCAATGCAAGCACATTGAGAAGGTGCAAAGGAGTCCCAATCACTGACTGGAACTGCATCATAATAATGCACGCTCCCATGCGTGTTACCACACCACAAGGGTATGAACAGGCCCTTGGTCCATACTAAATGGACTGTTTGTAAATAGCAGCCCTTTTACTTTGTGGCTCTGCACATGGTGGTCTTACTTCTGTTTGTATTGCTTTTGTTTCGTTCTGATAGTCTTAAGCTGCTTTGTATTTATTTGTAATGCTATTTCAGAACTTGGTATAGTAGAGCCAAATTGATAACCTGTGCCGAATATGGTCTATGGGCCTAATATGGAATGTATTATGTAATACTGTACATATGTACTTGTATAGGCAGCTGCACAAGCAGGCCAAAACTCATAATCTAGAAGATCACATATGCTGAGGCATACCAGATTAGTTATAATGTCACTACCTAGGCTTGTTTCTATAGATTAGAATATTATGCTTTTTCATGCCTTTTAATTATCAGGGTTATCAGTCTGTTAAATGGCAAGCTTAGCTCTTGATACAGAATATGGTGCTATTTTGTAACACAAATAAAAATCGGGAGACACTGTCCTGTATGTCTTGTTTATCCTTTACTACATTGTGGTATCTTAGAATGAACGATTTCTTTTTCTAAACATAGGCTATATTTTCAGATGTTAGGACTGAGTCTGTTCCCTGCTTCAGCGCCATAAAATGTTTGGATACGTATACAACATTGAGACCTTTTTAAATGATTTGTTAAAACCTTTCAGACTCTGTAAAGCTCGTATGCAACCACTCATTTCTAAACTATTTCTCTGGGTACTAAAAATGGAGTGAAATCTGTGCTTACCATGTCACTGGTCAGTGTAATATGCCAATAAAATATGATCTGGGGCTTCTTGTGTCTGTCTCTTATTTCTCATGATACCAGCTATACTTTCTTGTTGGTGTTCTCTACGTTATTCCCATACTTGAAAAAGCATTTGACATTTTTTTTTCATACTATATGTGCCTGCTACAGAAATTGAGAACACAATAACGGGAAGATTGATAAGGAACTAGTTAAAGTGACAAAATCAATTTTTTCCCCCCCTCCCCCCAATGTTAAGTAAAGCACTTACCTTAAATGATGTCTCTTAATCCGATCTTCTACTTTCCTGTCCTTTTCAGCCTTCTCTCCAGCGCTGCTGCGGGTGTCCGATCCAGCACTGACTCCTCTGTTCTTGCTGGCACTTCCTGTCCCACGGTGTCTGCATGCGGGTGCACACGTCCATAGACTTACCTTGCGTCTCTCCTCGTCTCCTGGACGAAAATCCGAACTGTGCATGCGCCCGCCCCAAGATGCTTTGCGGCCACCCGAGCAGTTTCGGATTTTCGGACGGGAGCGCGCGGCGATGACAGCGGTAAGTTTAAACCGCTTTTAAAGCAGTTTTTTAAATTTATTTTTTACTTTTTGCATATATGTCTACTGCTTGCTAGCAGTAGATATATGCAAAAAAACAGAGGGTTTAGAAAACCTTTAAGGAACAGAAGACAAAAAGGTATTTGAAAACTAATGAATCAATAAAATGTGGATCTGCACTATGGGCTGGCAATGACTTCTCAATAGCTGCTGTGCTGTAAGTGTAATCACCCAATCCTTAGTATAAAAAAACTGCACTCATTTATGTAATAATCCTAGGGATGCACCGATACCGATACAAGCATCGGTATCGGCGGCGATACCGAGTATTTGCATGAGTACTCGTACTCGTGCAAATACTCCAATACAAAAAACGAGTACCTGTTCCGCGTCCGCCATCTTCAGGGACCCGAAACCACCGCACACAGGACCTCCATCACGTCTTCAGTTAAACAAGATGGCCGCGAACTCCTCCAAGTCCTCAGTCATCAGATTAGGGGATTATCTCCCCTAAAGTTCCAGGAAAGCCATAAATCTCCCTCTAGGCATCCCCCTACCAGGCTTGCAACCACCAGTCGGATGCCATAATTGTGCACCTAGGCGGGTAGTGTTGCGTCAGACTCCATCCAGATGGACCAAATTCTATCAAACTTTTGAGGACACCCTCTGCTAAGTGGCTTTGTGCAGTGGCAAAGATGTGTTGACCAGTGTTTTCCAAGCCCCCAGACCAGGCGGATCAGATTTCCTCCAATGGAGGATAAGAAGCTTCCTGGCGTAATATAACAGATATGTAAGTAGTGTGCGGGACGCCACCGAGGGTACTATATCGTCAATGAGACCCAGTATACATATTTGGATATTCGCAGCAATGGGGATCTGCAATAACCCCGAGGCCACCTCCATTACTCCCCTCCAGTAGTTCTTGAGTCTAGGGCAGGACCACAACACATGCACTAGATCAGCCGGCTCCCAGGGACATCTCCAGCATCTAGAGCAGGGGTGGCAAACTCAAATTCATCGGGGGCCGCATCAGCAGTATGGTTACCCTCAAAGGGCCGGTTGTATAGGACTATGCATCTACTCTTTATTATCATAAATAGTTGCCTCTGCATTCAGTTGCTACTGGTGATATGGAATTGATAAAGTGATATGGAATTGGTCAGTATATCCGAAGTTTACTGCTCCACCTGCCATGGTATGTAACCATTGCAGTGCTGTAAAGGGCAGGTGCAGACCAGCATGGAGCCCACTCACACTTCTGTAGCAGGTGATGTAAATTTGAAAAAGAGGGTCACACATCACTGGTAACATCCACAAGAAAATTATTGGAGACTGCTCAGACCGAACACCATGGTGTCCTCAATAAAGTTCTCCTGTGGACGATACCAGCAGTCTGCAACCCTCCTTTTCAACTGGCATGGAATTAAATTATTCTCATAATAATTATAAGCAGACATCCAGAGCACCCCACTCCCAATACAGCAGATGTCAAGAGCCCTCCCACCATCAAAAGTACGCTACGTACACAGTGCAGGGGTCAGGATTGCGCCTAAAAATTCCTCACATCTGTACTCTCCCCTACCTTCCTACCTGGACCAGCTCTGGTACCTCCCTGTATAGGCGGCTCCCTCCCTTTGTATTGGGCTATAGTACCTTTTTTTTTATTGGGCTATAGTGGTACCATCCCTCTGTGGGTGGATCTCCTGTGTTATCAGTACTTTGCTTTTTTTTTTTACGATAAACTTTAAAATAGCAGCACACAGTTTATTAAGAAGAGGCACAGAACGCAGCCCGCTGGATGGGGGAAAAAAACTGCCCAAAAAACTGCCAGCAATCTCTGCCACTATGAACATTCAGTGGCATGCAAAAAAGCCGGCATCGCTGGCTGGAAGGACTGGGGAGGCGGGGTGGAGGCGGGCACCAGAGCGGCATTGTAAGCCGTCATGGCTGCAGAAAGAGAGGTGGAGGCGGAGACGGAGCGGCACAGTAAGTGGAATAAGTAATGCCTGCTCAGACTGGCCGCGCCGCTCACTTGCTGAAATCCCAACCTGGCAAAATGAGGTGGCTGCTGTGCGGGCCACATTACAAGGTCCGGCGGGCCGGATTCGACCCGCGGGCCTTGTGTTTGCCACCCCTGATCTAGAGGATTCTGTGGATCGCATAGTAGCAAGTCTGGCCGGCGTGTAGTAAGCACGATACCCCCCCCCCCCCCCAGGTTACCGTGTGCCCCCCGCTAACAGTCGCGGCAGTCCCGGCGCTAGCGCAAGGCAAGAGAAATGGAATCCCTGTCCTAGCAGATAACTGCCCAGGACGGTTATCACACAGTTATCTGCTGGGACAGGGGTTCTTCCCGTTGCAGCCTCACAGACTGTCAGCGGTTTCTCCCTACAGGCTGTAGTGATCTGTGTCAGTGGGGACAGATTGCCGATTACTGCCTGTAAGGAGAACCCTCCGACAGTCTGTGAGCTCCCCACCCCTGCAGTCTACTCACCTCTCCGCGGCGTCTGCGATCGTCTTCATTCCAGCAGCTGACCGCAATTACCAGCCTGCTATTGGCTGTTTTAAATTGCAGTAGCCAATAACAGGCTGGCTATTGCACCCGCCCACTGCCAGCTGCCATTCAACAGAGGTGGACCTGATAGAAGACTTCCGGTCCCTCCTCTGCTGATTGACAGCAGGCAGTGGGTGGGTGCTGTAGCCAGCCTATTATTGGCTATTGCAATTTGAAATATCCAATAGCAGGCTGGCTATTGCTC